TAAATTCAATTCCCTGCGAATTAATACAGCCTCCTCATCTACAGGATCCTCTATAAATGGACATGCCATTTTGGTCTCTGCGTGACAGAAACATGTGCAATCTATGAATGTACTGAAAGATTAAATGAGGTAGGCCTATTTAAAAACCTTTCACTTTAAAAAAGGGGCGGAGACCGGAGGAAACTCTGGGTTTCCCGAACAAAACCTGCTCCCAACCAGGTTAGGTTCACAGAGTAAGTTGCCATAGTAACTGACTTTGAGTTTAGATTACCTCTCTTTGTGAAACGGGTTTAACTTACCCCGCTTTCACGGGTTTAAGTTACCTCTGTTTCTGGAACCGAAAACTCTGAGTTTTCCTCATTTCGGGGTTAACAAACTCAGAGTTTTAACAAAACTTCCTTCTTGAAACGGGCCACTGGGTTCAGAGATGAATATAACTGAGTCTCATCTACATAGCAATGGAAATTTGTGCAGTGTTTCCTGATAATATTGCTTAAAGGGAGCATCTATCAAGTGAAGAGAATTGGACTCAACAGAGAGCCCTGCAGAACGCCATGACTAACTTAACTCTGCACGAAATATTCATCATTAACATGAGCAAATTAGAATCTTTCTGATAAGTAAGATTTGAACCAACTTAGTGCATTTCCTTTAATCCCAATAACATGTTCAAATTTGTAGTAAGATGCTGTGATCAATGGTGTCAAAAGCAGCACCGAGATCTAAGAGGACAAGTATGGAGACAAGTTCTTTGTCTGAGGCTAGGAAGAGCTCATTGGTGACTTTCACCAATGCAGTTTGTGTACTATGATGGACTCTAAAAACCTGACTGAAAATCCTCAAACAAATCATTCTTGATCAAGTGGCCACATAACTGCTTTGCAACAGTCTTTTCAAGGATTTTAGAAATAAACAGGAGATTGGATATTGGTCTATAATTAGTTAGAACACCTGGGTCAAGAGTAGGGTTTTTGAGTAGAGATTTAACATTGTCTTAGAGTAGTGTATCAGTCTTTGCATCAGTCCCCGCAGACAGGGACAGGAAGCTGATGAAGGGGGTTGTCGATGCCAGAATTCTCAGTCAGCTCCTCGGATAAGGCTGTCAGTTCTTCAAGGGTCTTGGTGATGCTGCCATCTGGGGAAGTATTGTTAGGTATAAAAGTACAACAAAATGTGCCAAACGTCATACATACTTCTCCTCTCTGGGCTAACAACATGAGAGAAGTTGGGCCTAGTTGGTCTGCTATGCCTCTTATTGCATCTCTGGTAAAATTTACAGTGTTGATTATAGTAATTAATCCAATCCACATTTTTATTTACTGTGACCCACCAGGAAAGAAAAGATTCAAACCCTGCAGCTATCTGATTTCTAGCTTTAAACTCGTCAGGTAATCCTTTGGGTACGCCAATTGCATCTGTGTACACTCTGCTGTCAAACGATCCTCTGGGGCTACCTACTCTCCTGGTTCTGTGATGTAGGCGGGATGCAGATTAACAGCTTTTCCCCCAGCTCCTTGTATTCTCTCAATGAGAACATATGAAAAGGCATCAGCAGCTGCACCAGGGTACAGCTGCCTCGCCACTATGAGGGGAGTCTGGGTCTCAACTTGCCATCTCCGCATATCCACCATATGTCTGCCCTTGAGACGGTTTGGTTCACAAACCAGGTGGCAGAATAGTGATGTTGAAGGTTTCCTTGCACCAGGCAGGTTATGGACATTCTTGCCAGTACCAGAGCGCACGAAGCATGTATAATTCCAAGGATAAATGTCTACCAAGGGAGGAACGTCTCCTTTGTTTACTGGTGGATACAGCAAAGAGAGAGATTACATTGTTCAGTGGATGGAGAAAAAGCCTTATCATACAGTTGCAA